TAAATTATCACGTGATTAGCGCACCGACGTTATTTGTATGGGCTAGGGGGGTGGCCAGGTTAATTGGGTGGCCAGGTCAAGTGGGAGATGCGTTAACTATTTATTAATTATAATACTTAAAAAAAAAACAATATAATAAAAAATATAATATATTAATATTATAAATATACCTATTGTTTTTTAGGTTTTTTAAAGATATAGATTTTAAATAATATAAAACCTTTTATATTATACTTTTTAATAAAAATTAATAAATTAACCTATATTAAATACTAATATAAAAGTACCCTTTACCTTTAAATATAAGGAGCTATAAAGTTTATAAACTAAAAGTTAAATTAATAGTTATACTTTTATATTAATAAGTATTAAAATAATTAAAGCTTTTATTTATTTATATTAGATTTTATATATAATACCTTTTAATATTTAACTATTAATATAGTATTATTAAAGGTCCTAATAGGAATTAATGTAAAAAACCCTTTATTACTACCTTTACTAAATACTATTAAAAAACAGCATTTAAAAGACTAGCTTAATAATTAATATAATAAACCTATAAGGTATAAAAGGCAGCTTATAAAGTAATAAAAGCTATATAAAAGAAATAAGAAGTATAAATGAATAAAAAGTAATACCTGGTAAACTTCTATATAGGAAATAAGGTCTTTTTAAAGAAGAAGGGCTTTATAACTAATAGCTTAACTACTTAATTAAACTCCTAATAGGTTGGACCCTTTAAAATACTTAAAAAGAAAAAATATAACTATATATTAAACCTTTTAAAGTTAATAAAGATAATTAACCTCTTTTATATAAATTAATTATATAAAGTAAATAAAAACCTATTGCTTTAATAAACTTAACCATTATTAAAATTGGAAGATATTAAAGGAGGATTAAAATAAAAAGTTAAACAGCTGTTTAAGTTATAAGTAATAGGGCGTAATAAAATGCTATAATATTAGGTTATTTAAAAAGGTTATAACTTTAACAATACTTAATACCTAATAAAGAATTTTAAAAATTTATTAATTAAAATATAAAAGTTTTATAAAAGATAACGCATCTCCCACTTGACCTGGCCACCTAATTGACCTGGCCACCCCAATAATGTATATAAAACTTTATTATTTAAATCTTTAATAACTTTACGAATATTAATCATACGATTTAATAATTAGTACCTTTAAATCCGTTAGTTGAAGGGGAATCCAGAGGTATTTTTTACTATTTTTTATAAAATTTATTAAGCGAGATATTAAGCAATACGCTAAAGTGGCGCTAAGTAAGGATTATTTTAACGCTTACTTTAGCGTTTTGCTTAATAACTCCACAAATATAGATCGTAGGATTTAGTGGAGGGTACCGTTAAATAGCTCTTTTTATTACGAATCTAATGGTATATTTTGTTATTCTATACAACTAATATTCGTAAAGTTATTAAATTATCACGTGATTAGCGTACCGACGTTTCTTGTATGGGCTGGTGGGGTGGCCAGGTGTTATGGGTAGGTTGAATCTTAAAGGTCAGGTACAATGTTATAAGTCTCTTCAGTCTTATAATAGGTATTTAATAAGATTAAAGCTTAAAGAAGGGAAGAATCTCCTTTGAAGCGTGTATAGGAAGGGTACGTAATATATGTAAAGTATATATACTTTAGGGGCCTTAAGATACTATAATATAATAACTACTCCTTTTTTTTTAATTAAGTTATTTTTAACCTAATATATAATTAATTTATTAATTAAATATAAAATAAGAAGTTTAATTATATAAGTATATAGTGCAAAATGTTAAGGTAAACGTATTAATATAGTTTATTTATATAGAGTATTATTATAATAAAGGTATATAGATATTAACCTTATATTTATATTATAAATTATATATGCTATATATTGCCTTTATAGTAAAATTTACGTATATATTTTTATTAATCATTTATTAACTTTCTTTTTTTTCTTTTTCTTTTTTCTTTAACTATTATTAATTTTAAAAATTAATTTTAGCTAAAAACTATTATATTACTTTTATCTTTGCTTTATTTTCCTTTCTTTTTTTATTATATTTATATTATTATTACTATTGTTTAAATTATATTTCTTAAGGGTAAAAAGGAAAAGGGTAAAGCCCTAGCTTTAAAAAGCAATTGCGTTATATATAGCGGTAAAGGTAAAGTGCTACTATTATTACCGTTATTTAAGTATAATAAAGATATAGATAAAGAGTGCGCCAATGATGAAGTACCTATATTATTACCGCTAATACTATTAATACCGCCTTTATTAGGCGGCGATAATAACGACGATAATAATGGAAAGGGTAGTTTAGGTTAGGGCTATAGTAGATCTATTAGCCTTTCGCTTAATAATTATTCGAGCTATAGGGGTAACTTAGATGTTGAAGGTAAAAACCCCCGGAAGAAACGTAAGCAGTCTGTAAGGATAAAGAATTAGTGCTACGGGAAGTGTATAAATCCTATAGTTATATTATTAACGTTAATGTGCTATAGGTATATTGGGTATATTAAGTATATATATTAACCTAACTTTAATTTATCTTTAAAACTTAATTATTTATTTAATAAATCTAGCTTTATTAATTATTACGGGTATATTAAAGCATATTAAATGTATAAGCTTATTAATATTTTTATATTTATATTATATATAAATTGTTATTTATTTAAATTTAGCTTTTATTTATAGTAGCTTTTAAGATTATCCGGTTTATTAAATTCTTTAAATGGAGTTAATAGGCTTTTATACTTAAAATAATTATTAATAACGTTTAAGCTATAAATAATAATGGAGTGGAACTTTAATCCAGCTTATTTAAATTTCGTACCGATATTATAGCTGCTTAATACTATTTTATTAAATTATATTTATACCTCCTTTTAACTTATTAAAGTTATTTTAATATAATTAATAATTAAGCTAATAAAAAGGTATAAAGCTATTTTATACCTATTTTAAACTTATTATATATTATAATAATGTTATATTTATATTTAAATAGAAGTATTTTCCCGATTATAATTATATTATTGCCGAACGATACTTTATTATTTATAATATAATTGTACCTATTTTAGTTAATACTGTAAATAACTTTGCTTTATACTCTTTTTATATATGTTTTTAATATAAGTAAAATGCGGCCCAGCATTAAAACTACTTTTATATAATTTCTTTATATATATATTTATAAAATCCTAGTTTAACTATATAATATACCTTTATTTTATTATTTATAGCAAAAATAAAGACTTTTATAATTAAGTAATATAATAATACCCAATGGGGCAAAGTTTATAATTAAATAAAGCTTTATAATATTATTAATTTTAATAATTATTAAATTTAACCTTATTTTATATATAGCTTAATGGTAAAGCGTAATAGTTTTTTAACTTTAAGGGTAAAGGTTTAATTCCTTTTATATTAAAATAGTTAGTTTTGTTTTTTTTATAATTAGTTTAAGATTTTTAAAATCCTATTAGGCTTACTTTATATCCTATATTAATAGTATTAAATATAGTTTTAATTTATACCCGATTTACTGTTTTTAGTTTTCTTCTTTTATTTTTAACTTTATTATTTTTTAAAATCTTTAACTACCTTTAACGTTAAGATGTTAAATTATAATACTTATTAATTATATTTAAAAGGCCAGCCTTTCTATTTAACCTTATAGTATTAATTTCTATTATATACTATTTTACCTATTATATTTTTAACTTCCTATTTTTCTGAATTATTTTTAAAGTTTAATATAAGTAGACTATATTTATATTTAATAGTCCAAGGCTTAATTAATTAAATTAGGAAAACGGGATAAAGATAAATATATTATAATAGGAGATTAATGCAATATACCTATAAATTAACTTTACCTATAATCCTAAAAGGTCCTATATATTTAGGTATTAACTTTTTATAACGAAACTTTATATTCTTTATTAATAATATAATTAAGTCTCCAACCTTAAAGGTTATTAATTTATACTTATTATTATAATGTTCTATATATTATTCTAATATAATTTACCATTGCTTTACTATTTTATTTTTAATTATTTCTAACTTATTAAATTGTCCTTATATAGTTAGAACTTCCTTTAATGTAAAGTTATCCTTAACGAATAATTTAAATTTAGGAATGTAGCTATATAAAGCTTTAAAAGGTAACTTTCCAATTATTAAATTAACTATTAAGTTTATAGTAAAAAAGGCTTATAAAAGAAGTTAAGGCTAATTAATCTATTCTTTATTAATAAAATATTATAAATAACTTTTAATTACTTAGTTTATCCATTTTATTTAACTATTAGTTTTAGGGTAAAACGTAATTAAAAGGCATTATTTTATTTTAAAGTAATAATAAAGGTTAAATTAAAATTAGCTTATAAAAATAATACCTTTATTTAAAACTATACCTTATAAGCTGCTATATAAACATTTAATTTTATTATAAAAAAGGATAGCTAATTTTACTAAAGTAATAATAATGCTAATTAAAAATAGGTACGTAAGCTTAATAAATTTATTAATAATAATTAATATAAAGTTAACTAGTTTTCCCTTATAAAAGGTCTTAGGTAAACCTATAATAAAATCTATAGAAAGTTTTTATATAGGTTAATTAGGAATTGGTAAGGTATCCAATTTATTATATTCCTAATAATATTTTACCTTTATCCTAAAGTAGATTATATAGGATTTTATATACTTTTAAATATTATTTCGTATATCTTTCCAAAAGAACTTATAATATAGGAGTTTTAAGGTATAAGTTTAATTAAAGTAACCAGTAATAGGTTAATTATAATATAATTTAATAAGTTAAAAATAGAGGGACTTTTTAAAGGAAATATAAACCCTTTCCTTATAGCAAACTAGGTTTTTTTTTACTAACTATTAAGGGTTTATAACCTTTTTGCCTTTAAATTAGTATAGAATTGCTTAACATTTAGGATCTTTCTATTAAACCTTTAGGATTAAATTACTTAAATCTTTAAATAGCTCCGGGTTTTCATTCTTTTTAATATTTATAGCTATTTATATTTATTTATACGTAATTGCTTATATAAAAATGGTTCGTTTAATAGGTATATATATAGCATATAGCTTATTAATTAATACTTTAAGGTATAAATTAAGGATTTTAAATTATTATATTATAGCAATTTTCCTTTTTAATATAAAAAGGATATTTATATTAACGGGCAAAATAGTTATAAAATTAGGGCGGTATAAAGGTAGATTAGCTTTATTTTTCTTACTTACCCTATATTTAATAATAAAGTTAAAAGGAATTAAATATATATATTAATAGGTTTACTTCCTATTTAACTTTAGGGTCCTTATAAATGCTTAAAGATTATTATAATTAATTAATACCTTGATTAATAAGTAGCTTCTTTAAAGGTAATGCTGCTAATGCTTAAAGTAATTTATTATTATAAATATTTCTTAATTAGGAGTATTATATTATATTTCCTATTTGGAAAACTTATAGAAATAGAATATAATTAGTTTAAATATACCTTAATTATCCTATTAGGATAGGTTATTTATAAATATTATTTTAAAGGAATTAGTTTTTAGCAATATTTACTTTTTGGAGCTAAAATGTATAAGGAGAATAGCCTCCCTAAATATAACTTAAAGATCTTTAAATGCTTTTATTATAGTTATATTTAATGAAATTTAACCCTCTTTTATCCCAGATGTACCTTTCTTTAAATAATGCATTAATGATAATGCAATCTAAAAAAACCTATCTATAAAGCGGCAATAAAAGTTATAAAACCTTAAAAATTGTTATAATTCTTTATAAAAATTTAGGATAAGTTATTAATTAATTATATTAATCTTTAAAGGAACCATTTTAATATTTTTACTAAAGATAATATAGCTTAAAAATTTAATCTTTTTTTAATAAAACTAGCATTTAAAGAGCTTAATATAAAGGTTTACTTTTTATAATCTTTTAATAATAGCCCGGATATATTTTATATATAATTCCTTATTTACGGAAAATATAAAGATGTTATCCAAATAAGTAATGTAAAAAATATTTAAAATATTATTAAGTGCCTTTTATATATAGTTCTAAAAGGTGGTAGAAGCATTTAATAAACCTATAGGTATAATTAAAAATTTATAATAGCTATAATAAGTATAAAAGGTTATTTTCCATTTATTTCCCTTTTAAATATAAATATAGTAATAGGTATCCTTTAGGTTAACTTTTATAAATATTTTTATTTAAAAGATTTTATCCAATAGTTTTAAAATAAGGGGTAAAGTATAACAATTTTTATATAAAATATGGTTAAATCCCCTATAATTTATATATAAATATAAGCCTCCATCTTTTTTAGGAATGAAAAGGATAGGTGCTCCAATTGGATTAATCAATTTTTTAATTTTTTTAGCCTTTAATATTTTATCTAATTACCTTTATAACTTTTTAAGTTTATCTTATATTAAAGGGTATATAGAATAATAGGGAACTATAGTGTTTTTTTTAAGTTTAATAGCTAAATTGCCTCTTTTTAAGTAAGGAAGTATACTAGCTTTATTTATATTAAAGAAATTAATAAGGTTATAAAACTTTTATAAAATATTATTAAGTTTTATATAAGATGTATATAATTCCAATTCTTTTAGCTAAATTAATTTTAATAATTGGATAATTATTTAATAATATGGTTTATTTTTATAAGCTTTTATAAATTAATATAGGGTAAATATTTTAAAGTAATAAGCCTTAAGTTTAAAGAATTAACGATTTATACTTAAATTTAATATAATTCTTTAATCCTTTAGGGTAATTTAAAATAATAAAATAGGGCTGCCTTTTAAACAATAATTATAATTAATAGCTATATATATATATTTAAACTTATAAATGATATTATAATCGTTAATTAGTTTATAGGTAACCTAATAGGCCTTATATAATGGAAAACTACTATTTGTAATATGTTATAATAAAGGAGTTTGAAAAGGAGCCTTTTCTAACTTATAATAAAGTATAAAAGTAAGGCTAATATAATTATATTTAGTATAAGAATTTAGGTTAGCGTAAGTTTATAAAAGGGGTTTTTTTAAGCTAAGTGTACGGATTATACAAGGGGTATAAAAATAACGTATAATAGGTATATAAAGGGGTAGATTTAGCTTAATACCTTTTATTAATTTAAAAAGTATTAAGCTTCCGGTCTATTTCCTAATTATTTATTATATTTCGGAGGATTATAGTATTTTAGTAAAAGGGGGGTATAAGAATAATATAGTAATTATTGTTTATTTTTAGCTTTATTCCGCTCTTTATTTATTTAAACTTTTTAAATGGTTTATTTTTATACTATATAGCCCGTATAGTTAGGGTTCCGGTTTCGTTTAGGTTAAGTATAGTTTAGGGTAATATAGCCTAGTTAACTATAATTAAAATAAATTACTTTTTTATAGTTTTCTTAATTTGGTTTATTTTTATTATTGCTTTACGAATAATTTAAAGGAGCTTTAAAAGGGGGTTAACTTTTTAAAATAAAGTTATTAGGTTAATAGTTTTCCTAATAATTAAAACTTTAAAAACGTTAATAATAGCTATTACCATTATTTCTTTAATAGCTATAACTATTATTATTACTTTAATAATTATTATTATTACTATTACCTTTATAACTATTAATATAGCTATAACTTAAGCTGCTATTATAACTATTGCTATTATATCCTTTATATTTATTTTTATAATTATTATTAATAGCTTAGCTATTACTTTAGCTTTAGCTTATATTTATAGGTAGTCCACTATTAATTTAGGTATTTTTTAATTTAAGCCTTTTTCTTTTATAATTAGCCCGTTAGTTCTTATTTATTAATTCCTAGCGTTGTTATACTACGTTAACTATTTTAGTCCTAATCTTTAATAAGAGGTTGTAGAAATTTATTAATTCCTTTTATAGGGGTCCATTTAATTTTTAATAATATAATAGAGCTTTTTTACCCTTACTTCGTTTTAGGTTTTAACTTTTAATATTAGTTAAATATTAATCGAAGAATTTTAAGTCCTAATTGGTATATTATATAGCCCTTTCGAATTATATACTAATATTAACCTATAGGAAGGATAATTAGCATAATAAAGTTTTAGTTTAATTTAGGAACATATCCTAATTGGATTCTATTCGTTTTCTTTTTATATATTTAAACCTTCTTTTTATAATTTAATATATATTTTTATAATCCCTATTTATTTTATTATATATATAAAGAATTTTAGGGGTATTGGTTTTAAATTTATAATTAGCCCTATGGAATATAGTTTTTAATTCCTTTACCTATTTTAATTATTTTAGATAAGTAAACTTTATACTAAGGGGGTTATAGTTAAACTTAAAAAGCTAGCTTAAATTAGCTTCCTTAAAGGAATAGCATTTATAATAGTATATATAATTTAAATGTAATTAATGTATATGATTATTTTAACTATACTTTATATTAAAGCTAGATAATAAAGGGTTGTTATTATTAGGATTGCCCTCTTTTTAGTCCTAACGGCGTTATTAATTACTAGGGGTTTATAAATTATTAAGGTTAAAGTAATACCTTAATTTATTTAAATTTAATGTTTTTAAATTCTTTCCTTTTTTATTTAAATATAATTTGGAAGGGGTATAGGTTGCCTTTAAACTTTAAGCAACCTTCTTTCCTTTAAGAAGTTATTTTTCTAGCTTTACAATTTTAACTAAAAGTTAAGCATTTATTTATTATAATAATTAAACGTTAGTTTCGTTTATTGGATTAAGGTTATTAGGAGATTTTAATAGTTAATTTTAGGTTTATTGTTCTTCCGGAGATAAATTGTGCTAGCTTTATCCTTAAGCTATCGTTAAAAACTTTCCTTAGTTTAAATTTTTTAAAAAAGCGCTAGTTTTAATTATTTATTTATATGCAGGTATATCGTAATTAATAACATTATAGATAACCTTAAGGGGAAGCTTTAAAATTATCATGGATAGGTTAAATCTTAAAGGTCAGGTATAATATTATAAGTTTCTTTAATCTTATAATAGGTATTTAATAAAACTAAAGCTTAAAGAAGGGAAGAATCTCCTTTGAAGCGTATATGGGAAGGGTACGTAATATATATAAAGTATATGTACTCCAGGGGCCTTAGGATACCGTTATATAATACCAGGTTAATTAGGTGGCCAAGTTAAGTGAAAGATGCATTAGTTTAATATATTAAAACTGTTTAAATAGTTAAATAAATAAATAAAAGCTATAATAATTAATAAGTTTATTATTAATTACCTTAATAATAACATTGCTGTATAAAATAGCATTATAATTAAAATTAAATATTATAAGTAATTCTTTAACCTAATTTATACTTATATTTTAATTTTAATAAAGAGAAGTATAATAAATATATTAAATATATATTATATTAAAATATTATATATATTATAAAGGGATATTATAAAGATATATAAAATATATATTAATAAGGTTATATAACTTATAATAGCTATTAGCTTATATATATCCCTATATATATATATATTTTAATTTCCTTTTTCCTTTCTTTCTTCCTTAACTTAAAATCTTTATTTATAGCATTAATACAGCTATGCTTTAAACCCTAATTATAATAATACTTTTATTTTAATAATAATTTTTATATAAAGTATAATATATATATTTAAATAAGTTAAAAAAATTTAAAGGGTAAAAATCTATATAATAATTAATATTTTTAAAAGTTTAATATTAATAACCTTTATATTATAATATTAAAATATAAATAATTATTATATAAAAAAATATAATTTAATATATTTTTAATATATTTATTATAAAATAAGCATTATATAAATATTAAATAGCTTTTATTATTATTTTATATTATATAACTATTAAAAATAATATATTTATATTTATCTTTATAAAATTAACTTTAATTTTTTTTATATTTATATAATAAAATAAAAATAAAGTTTATTTTTAAAAATATTATTTTAATATATTTTATATATAATTTATATCTTTTAATTATTTAATTAACTTTACCTTTATTTTATTATTAAATAAACCTTAAAAATAATATTTTTCCTTTAATTTTATTACTTTAAATTACTTATAGCTATTTTTTAATTAAATTATTTCTTTTTCTTTAATATTTATATACTTATAATTTAAATTATTAATTATTTTATTAATTTCTTTAAGCTTTATTTTAACCTTTTAATTTAAATATTAATAATAATTATTAAAAGCTAATTAATTAAAATTAATACCTTTAATATTAATTTTAAAGTTATTATAATTATTTAAATAAATTAAAATATTAATACTTATAAAAAGTCCTATTATTATTTTAAAATTAAATAAAATAAAGGTTTATTTTTATATATTTATAATAATATAAATAATTATTATTTATTTTTAATTAATTATTTACTTTTTAAATAACTTCCCTTTTTTTTTTAATTTATTTATATATAAATTTATCTTTTTTTAAAGTTAAATTTTAAAGGAATTATTAAAACTAATATTTAAAAGCTATAAATAAGTTATAAAACTTAATAGGATTATTATAATAATAATATTAACCTTATAAAAAGCTATTTTAACTTTATTTATTTTATAAAAGGTAACTATAACGCATCTCCCACTTGACCTGGCCACCCAATTAACCTGGCCACCCCCCTAGCCCATACAAATAACGTCGGTGCGCTAATCACGTGATAATTTAATAACTCTACGAATAATAGTCGTATAAAATAATAAAGTATACCATTAGATTTATAATAAAAAGAGCTATTTAACGGTACCCCTTACTAACTTTTACGATTTATATTCGCGGAGTTATTAAGCAATACGTTAAAGTAAGCGTTAAATTAATCCTTGCTTAGCGCCCCTTTAGCGTATTGCTTAATATCTCGCTTAATAAATTTTATAAAAAAAATAGTAAAAAATACTGTTGAATTCCCCTTTAAATAACGGATTTAAAGGTACTAATTATCAAATCGTACGATTAGTATTCGTAAAGTTATTAAAGATTGAAATAATGGGGTTTTATATAGGTTATTGGGGTGGTCATATCAATTGGGTGGCCAGGTCAAGTGGGAGATGCGTTATTAATAATTAATAAATTAAACTTCCCTTTAATATAAGTAATTAAATTATTATTAATCCAATTTTTAAATAAATTATTATTATTATATACCTTTTTATTAAATAATATATTAATACTTTTATAATATAATAGCTTTTCCCTATTTATTTTAAAGCTTTTATTATAAAAAATAATAATTAATTTTAACTTTTTAATATACTTCCTATTTATAATAATTATTAATATTAATATTATTTATTATTTTTTTTAATTACTTTTATTTAACTTTTTATTAATAAATATATTACTTTTATAATTGTATATATAATTTATTAAAAATTTAAATAATATTAAAGTTTTATTTAAATTAATAATTTAATAATAGAAAAACTTATTAAAAGAAAACCCTTTAATAAAATTATTTATTAATATTATACTTTTTTAAATTTAATTATTTTATAAAACCTTTTTAATAAATTATAAAAAGTTATTTTTAATTATTTTTATAAATATTTAAATTAAAATATAAATTATTTATTAATAATTAATTTAATAATATTAAAGGAAGTTAAAAAATTACTTATTTAAAAAGGTAAAAATTATAAAATAAATAAAATAATAACTATTAAAAATTATAATAGCCTTTTATTTAAATTAATAAATATTAATTAATTTTTTTACTTTTTTAATTATATAAAATACTTTTTATAACTTTAATTTTAATATTAATTAATAAGGTTAAAAGTATTATTTTTTCCTATTTAAAATTAACTTTTATTACTTTTACTACTTTAAAATAAATAATTTATTATTTAATTTCAAATAACGGACTATTTTTTTAAATATAAATTTTCGAAAGCTTTTTTTAACCTTATTATTACTTATAAAGCTATAATAATACTATATTTATTTATTAATTTTATTAATTTTTAATAAAATTTAATAGTTTTTTAAAAATAATAATATATTAACCTTCCTTTATTATAAGTAATATTTTTAAAATTATATTATTAACTTTAATAAATAATAATTAACCTATATTAAGCTTTTTTATTTAAAGTTATACTATTTAAATAAAGGGATTAATAAGGTTATATTAATTAAATTAAAGGTTAAATAAATTAATTAAAGATTAATTATTATAAAAATAATTAAAAATATTATTTTTAATATTTTTTTAATATTATTAAAAAACTAATTATAATATAGTAAAAATAGCATTTTTTTAATATTATTAAAAAATTAACTATAATATAGCAAAAATAAAAAAAATAAAAAAAAATAGTAAAAATAATAAAAATAGCAAAAATAATATTTTTAGCATTATTTTTATAATTCTACTATTTATTAACTTTTTTAGGACTTATAAAAGGGTATAAAGCTTAATTAACATTTAATAGGAGTAACTTTTAATAGCGTTTATTAATAAAGTTGCTTGCCTAATATGGATAACCTAGTAAGAGAATCCCTACAATGGCGTTATTAGCGTTATTCGAGTTTTTCGAATGTATGTGGTACATCAATCATCTACTTCGTAATGCTGATGATCACCAACTTTAAGTAACAATCAAGGATTCTCGTATCTATAGGTGCAGCTCGGCTCAGCAGATTGAAATGTTAGCTTATAGTTTTTCGAATATAGACGACATTCAGCCTCTGAGTATTCCATATTGATATCCAAATTCACCAACTTGCGTGCTCCTATCACTATTCCAATAGGCTAAACACATCCTATTCAACTATTATTAGTCCTAGGTGGGTACCGAAACTTTGGTTCCTCTGCAGTAGGTACCTCTCCATCATGCCCATCGTCCTGAATCATTCTGTGAAGAAGGATAGGAGCATCCATGAGGGAGACAAATTGAGCAGGGCACAGTTTTGTTTTAGTAGTATGCCCCTCTTCATCTTTGTCCACGATCCAAATATAGATATCTGAGAACCAATTGCCTTCTTCTTCAGTAACAGGGATAAATAGTCGACCGGGACTTCGAAGCTGTTGCACAAGCTCACTGTGCAATAGAACGGCGGCAGCGCCAACGTGTATAGCATCCCAGCCACCGTTATCGTTAAGGGAAGGGTCTTCCATATTTTTTGCCCAGCCTTTCCATCCGTCTCCCAAACAGAAACGAACTCGTTCCGAAGCAAGATATGCAGCACCGCGAGCAGACTTGGCCAGTGGTTGCTATGTAGACAAGTTTGCCTTCAAACTTGGAATGTTAGTCTCAAGATGCTCTTCTGTAACGCAATTTTATGGACAGGTACAGTTATGTTCATGGCGATGTACTCTGTTGCCCAAATTATATTGGGAGTATCTATACCAGCATCCCGTCGCAAACAACTCATTGAAATGATCAAGGCTTATGGGAAGTCTATAACAAGCGACACTGGCACCCAAGTCTAGGTGAAATTGATTCTCTCATCGCCATCAACCTGGTAATTATCTACGCTTCTGTCTTTCCATTGCCTCTCAGCATCTCCAAGTCTTGCTCTCAATAAGCTACACTCGTCTTCGTCCCTCTCATGCCGACAACTAAGTTTGATCGAAAACGGCGTGTAATTAAAACTTTTACTCTATCATACTTATCTCTTATATCCATAATCTTATGATTACAAGGTTTGGGCTGATATTCATAGGCACATAAATGAGCACTACAACGATGGGAGCGAGTGCGAGTCGTGTCCACTCTCTTCAAACTAAGGGGCTGGTTCTTGCACATCTACGCATAAGAACGTGAATTAGGGGATATTTTTGGTATCTGTGCGCTGAACAGAACATAATTATAGCTTCGATAAGCTCATTTGAGACCGACTCTCTTTACCAGATCTACCATTTTGCACAACCTGCATGACCGAATATTTCCATTCGTAAACAGAATTACCTAACATCATGTCACAGTACCATATATCGCGATCACAGATGGCCAGGTTCACGATCTGAACCATTTTTATAACTTCGCTTAATGACTATGAATGTAGCATTTAGCAAGAGCGTGGGTGACTGACTAAATGAGCTATCAGTATGCAAAGTTATTGGAAGTGAATGTAGGATTTTCTCTGCTCTACAGTATTTACTTCACTTGATACTGCTAGGATTGGTAAAAAGAAAAAGAAAACTGAAAGTATATAGTTAGAAGGGTCTACATACCCTCACTCGTAATCTTCTAGGCTTCGCGCCACAACAAGAGTCTTGCTGTGTACCTGTGCTTCTGATGCAATCTCTGACAATTGCATGTAGCAAACCAATTGGAATTGCTTCCTGCACATATTTCCATTCATTGCCTAGAGGAAATGCACATATCAACTAGATCATAAGACAACAGACCTTCTGTTGCATCCAAGAGCAAGCTCATAGAGATCTAAGAAGCCTGTGTAACAACCATATCCACACGGTGGGTTTGAGAGGGCAATAGGCTGCAGGCGAATCATCTACGGACATATTGAGATGTATGCTCTGAAGAATAAAACAAAGTCATTTTGGTTACTTGCTTGTAGTATTTCGAATACTCAATGGAACATATTGTTTAAAGCGATCGCCACTCTCTCTCGTGTTTCTTGCCTTGCTGATTTTCTACTAGGAGACCAGACCACTGTGTGAATACAGTATTTGGACTGTTCTTATCAGCGAGCACAGGCCATGGCTTATCAACACACAATCAGATAGATTAAAGATACTTAGGTACATTACAGCTCCACTGTAGTCCTGCACAGCCGAATTTTTGCCCACACAATCCTCAGATTTCACACTCCTCCATTTTTCGGCTGCGACCTGTTGTCCCGCGATTCCTAACGCCCATCGCCCAACTCACTACACGATCACGAAGCCAACCTTTCCTTGCGACCTCGACAAAATCTCGCAAAAATGGCTACAGGTTTGTTCTGCTCTATTTCATTCTCGAGACTCTTCGCTAACTTTGGTGTAGAACTCACTGTGCAGTCCGAGCGGTAAGAGAAGCTCTAACTTGGCCCAACAAACCCCCAATTCCCAACGACGGTCACCTCAGTCCCCGACGAAAGTCATCCTTAGCTACACCTGATCGAATACGGCATGAACTGTGTCATCTATGATGTATAATTCGCCAAACCACTGTTCGAACGACCGTCGGACCCCGGTCTGGAGGGATTCCCAGCGACCGTCAGATTTTGCTCTAGAGAGCATGCGCATTGCGTAAACATGCCTGGCTAATTTCTCGGTTTTTTTCTGCAGTGCTTTCCAGAAGCAGCCGATTTTCCTCAACTCCAAGTCCAAGACGAAGTCGGCTCGTCCCGGAAAGCAAGGAAAGGTGTGTGCTATGCGACAATTGATGGGGAACATGGACTCACAATTTGATGCAGAGATGGTACAAAGATGTTGGCCTAGGCTTCAAGGTCCCCCGTACCGCCATTGAAGGCTCATACATTGGTATGTCGGATCTCTATTCTCTCGAACTTTGTCAACAAGACCATCACGCAGACATTTTGCACCCGAACATTGCGCGACGGAGGATGAATTATGGCGGATAGGCTTTCTATGGGCTCCATCCCAGGGCTCTGTCTTGTAACGCGCGCACCGTGTTAGAAAGGACGAAGCATCTCATATCGAATCTCTTTGGCAGTGCGGTGTTCCGGGCCCAAGAACTTTGTGGCTCGAATGTCGTAGTTGTGGGCATTGGCTAACTTGCGTTTGCAGACAAGAAATGCCCTTTCACTGGACTGGTATCCATCCGTGGCAGAATCCTCACCGGAACTGGTATGTTCCCGCCGTTTTCTTTTTTGACCTCCTGCGCTCGTGAAGAACATCCTTGTCTATGAGCGCGACACCATGTCGCGAGACCACCAAGAACGCTTCAAATTTTCTCCCGTCTGAGACGAAAAATAATCACTGACACCAATTACTCCAGTCGTCTCAACAAAGATGCACAGAACTATCATTATCCGACGTGAATACTTGCGTGAGTACTCCTACCCCTATCTTGATATTTTGAGAAGATGGACGGCTAAATATTGCGTTAGACTTCATCCGCAAGTATGCCCGATACGAGAAGCGCCACAAGAACATCGCGGCTCACTGTTCGCCCGCTTTCCGTGTTGAGGAGGGTGACCACGTTACCGTTGGCCAGTGCCGCCCCCTGAGCAAGACCGTACGATTCAACGTTCTTCGCGTACTTCCTCGTACTGGCAAGGCGGTTAAGAAGTTCAGCAAGTTCTAAATTTAGGGACCACGGGCATCGATGGCGTTGTTTCTTCACGGTTCTTCATGATACGGATTTTCGGAACGGGCAGTTCATAGGCTAAAACGGCGGCACGGAGCACGCTGGTAGTTCTGAAATGCAAAAAAAAGAATACCACACCACGAGACGTCTGATGTATTTGACGAAGCATTCGGGTGAATTTGAGCGCCGAGGTGGTTTTCGGTGTATATGAGATTGGTGATATATATGCCAAACATGCTGCAGTTGAAGGTATCAGATTCCAATGTTTAACGCAAGTATGCAGAAAAAGCTACTTCACACATGGATATCTCCTGAATTATTGGCTGGCTATCTACGCCGCTGCCTCGAGATGCATATTGATTTTCTTGTGCCGACTACAGTGAAAGAATTGTAGGCATTACCTGTGCTCGGAAATAGAAGGTATGCACTCGAATGTGGAATCGAACTCAACATAGAGAAGAAACAATGTGATCAAACTCATACCAAGTTGCCGGGGCTTAGATATATACCTACTTAGATTTGAAATTCCTTAAAAGTAAGACTGTGACTTAACAAGAACAAGATTGACTTTTCATATTATGGCCACTTCTACAATCCAAAGACATCCGTTCCCAACTAGACATTAGAAGAATAGTAAATTACTATTAGATAACAGCTAGTTATATATATATAGGTATCTAGGTAGCTACACGCAACTTCACTCCTCATGGGACAGTCACCGTGTAGGTTATCGCGATAACTCAATATCTCTATTGTATATCTATCGATAAGCACAAATCGGTATTCCATGATTTCTGAACCCTGCCACGGAGTTACAACGAATCGCCAGAAACTACCCCGATAATGCGTGCTCAGTTCAAATAGGTTAGGAAGAGAATTGGACATTACAACGGCTCCAATGGGCTGGTGGGACAGTCTCTGGGCCTCAACTACGAGCGCCGATGATCCGCTACGAAAGCTGGACCCAAAGCTCCGCGAGTTCCTCGAGAAAGAATCGCCCGTCAAATACAGCAACGGCAATGCGCCGTCGGCGCCGAAATCTAGCGATGCCGGATCATTAATACCAAACACCGAGCATGGGAGCGAGGGAGAGAGCAATAGCAAACCTGCGGTGCCTAAGGAGAGCCAATTCCAGGATGGCCGCTATGCGCACCTGTGGAAGTCGTATCGGTCGCTAGCGGAGGTCGAAGCCGAGACCAAGACTGATCACGAGAAATTGATGGACATCTTAGAGGGCTATAAGGAGCGCAAGGCGCAGATTGGCCGGGCCGCCCTCGAGAACTGCGCCCTCGAACAGGTGGATTGGCGCACTTGCATGACAAATCCGTCTATGAGCGAACGTCTGACCATGTGTCGAGATCAAGTCAAGAAGTTTGAACGATGCTATATGACACAGACGGTGCGTTTTACCCTTCGTGAGAAGTTTAAAGACTACGCTACTGTTGTCTTGAAGACCTTCTCCCCTTCATCATCTGCACATACTTCATGTGCTATTAATCCTGCGACGAATGACCTCATTCTTGAGCTCTCAACAACAAATGACTAACACCGAGTGTTTCAGAGGTTACTCAAAGCTCTCGGGTATCTCTCAACCCTCGATCAATCCCCCCAAACCGAAGAAGACATCCAAATGCACGCTGACGCGCTATACCACCGCATGTTGAAGCAAGAAGCCGAAATGGAAACGGCGAAGAAAGAAGGGCGGCCGATACCGAAATTTGCACCGCTTGTGCCAAGATCAATGGCCAACGCTACCACACCGGAGCCCGAATTGACACTAGAACAGCACGAGACATTGAAGGCAAGGTTAGAGAAGGTCGCGGAAGAAGACCGCGCTGCAGAAGAGGAGGCGTACAAGGGCGAGTTGCGCGCCAAGGCCGAGGTCGCATCCAAAGTCGAAGGGCTGTGGAAGCAGCAAGAACGGGACCGGCAGATGCGAAAGCAGAAGGGCGAGGAGACCATGTGGGACAAGGTTGCAGGGGCATTTGGCGGCAACAGCAATAGCGATAACCAGGAGAAGAAATAGCGTCTCTTGGTTGAAGCACATCGAGGCGCTTATGATATAGTGTGGCTTTACAAGCAGGATGAAGGTTGCAGCATCGACGAGGTATCAGCAGACCTTCTGGGTGTGAACTTATGGACTGACGAGTGAAAATGATTGTATAATACTGTATATAGGCTGTGGTCCACCTGCTCTCCAATAATGATACCAAATATCAAGATAAATGAATCAGTTATCAAGGTCAGGTTATACCATTGGATGATACCAGTTTACAAGATCTCGGATGTCACTACAGACGTTCATTATTACTTAAGCAGCAGGATGGACACTAATGCATTGTTCCGTATGTAGCAGTTTACGAGACTGGCTCTACTCCCTAGAAGATGGATTTGAATCTACACCTCAGAGGTCTGCTACAATTTGTAGTTGGTGGTGTTATTTTCAAAGACCCGCGGAATCAGCTTGCTCCTTCCCACTCTTATTCGAAGAACGATCGTCATTAATGCAAACAGCACAAGATAATAAAGCATCTATATAAACCACGCCTCCTACATATACCTACAAGCTAGGCCCCGTGTTCTATGGTTTTTACAGATTACCTCGACAATCCTAACTAATCCCTGGCGATCTCTCTTCCCACTACGTACTACGGGATCTATCGCAAGATAATCCACGACAATAAGCCATGAACACTTGAGCAGCATATCCGCCCAAGAGGATAGACCGTAGCCAAAGACCTCAGATTTCGCGAGAAAACGAGTAGCATTACATCGAATGCCATAGCTTAAGTGTAGGAAGACACACACACACACACACATATATATATATAATCACTCGTAGCTGTCTCACAGCAAACCAAGGAGGAGGTAATTATTGCCGGAATTGTATAGCGTCCCGAATCCTTCCCGAGGGGTTATCATATAAAGCACCTAGCTTATTAGATACCTACACCTTCGGTTGAAATCTAGAGTGGCGAAAGGCTCATCGCCTAGAGGTAGCTAGTTAGGCAGGCTCGGCAGGTCGTTGATTGAGGAAAGACTTGGGTTGTTCGCCAAGCACCGGCCAAGAGATTGCCAAGAGATGGGGCGAATGCTTGATTTATCAGATTCAACGACATGCCATCTTTGATCTTTGTGTACACGCATTTCGGGATCTTGAATGTTAGCTCAACATGAAAAGTGAAGATGCAGCAGGACCATTGGGACCAGGATTATGATTAGGGCATGATCACTGGAGGAATACGCGATAACACGGCGTAACCAAGTTATGGCTAGGGGTAGTATGATGGGTTGAGCAAGGTGGTGATTACATACCTAGGATTAATAGAAAATAAGGGTTATTTAAGCTACCATTAAGCACCTCAGAGGAGGTGTATAGGATATATGGCTACATACAGATAGCTGCTATAGGTGCCTATATGTTTTCTAGTGTATAGTAGCTAACAGATCATCAGATATGGGCAAACTTTGGTGGGTGATGTGTATAGTATTTGAGGACCAAGCATCTATCACATAGCGATATAAGAGAATGTATCCTGAGGCTTTCGCACAGCCTACCCAGGAAGAACTTGAAATACATTGCAAGCAGGTCCACAATGTCCACGATCCCTTTATGAAAATACCTACATGTACTGTCGGGAATGCATCAGGTAGCTAGGAAGATGTAGGAAGATGCAGGAAGACGTATGCCTGCTAACCTGCCGGAAATCCACTTTTATGGCCTGACAACATCTCAACCACAAGCAGCAATTGGTTCGTGATGAACAGCTACTGGGAGTTGCCCTACTAGGCAATGCAGTGAGGTGGTATTGCAGCGACGGTCTAGGTTGGTAAATCCACGCAAGTATAGATACCGGCGCAGGCCGGCAGAGCCACAAAGCTTGACACAGCCCGGTCAAATCAACCGGCTCATCCAGACTGAACAGCGAAGCACAGCGCATCACCTGGCAGACCGCTGCATTCTCGATACCTTCGTCGTCTCTTCCCCAACGGGGTGCGCTGCCCTAAATCAGACGGCGTCCAGTAAGCATGCGGGTACGGGGCTCGTGGCCAATCAATCCCTGTGCTATTGACTGCTAAAAGGGAGCTTACGTCTGTCACCCGTATTCCCGGATTCTATAATTTAATTAGTACGTTTGGTCAATACCCTGGGAAGGACGGGACAAGACAGGACAGGATAAGATACTACCTAGGTAGATGAAGCGCTGTTTGATTAAACCGCGCAGGCCTCCTGCATTGTCCTATCCCTGACCAGCTGATCATGCGTCTATCTGGCACAAATCATCCTAGCACATCAACACAACACAACCCAACCCTCCAACCAGAAGCTCTATCCTGAAGCTCCAGCCACCTTCAATGCTTCTGTCGTAAGTGGCGGCGGTCAATAACAAACAGCACCTCCCTAGGAGATAAGATTGATCGAAACTGGGAAGTAATACCTAGGCTAACTAGCAGTGAAGGAGACCCCGGCATGCTTCGTAGGTAGGTGTATGTCATGATGGAGGTGGGTGGTCAGCGTGGTATCTGTATGTATCTAGTAGGTACCTGCTTTAGACAGTGGTATCTTACCTCATAGTGGACAGCACCTAATAAGGAGGGAAGGGAAGGGTTACCTCTACTTCGTCAAGTATTGGCTAGGTAAGTAGGTACCTACATGTTCAATTGAAGCTGAACAGGAGAACTGGCAGTGTGCTGTTGCCCCAGCCGTGCCGTCATAACCGCCCCTCGTTCTCGCTCTTGTGTAAGTATAAAAGGTGATGCTGTTTCAGCTCTGCCTTCCGAGTTCGAGACCTCTTTTCTTCTTCTCATTATTCCCGTCCACATCTACCTAGACAAACCATAGAAGGCTTTCTCGCCATAGAAACCATCAACGCCCATCAGACACGTATCTGAGTGCTACAACTGTCTTATTATACCTACTTACCTGCATTGATTTCTCACCCAGCGATAGCCATCATGCCAGCTCCTCAAGAACCCCAGCAGCAGGCTCCAATGGAGATGACCTCGACCTCTGGCATCGTCACTCAACAGCCCGTATGTTCCTTTCCGTTTACATAACCAACAAATAGCGTCTCAACTAATGTGATAGACCGCCGAGCCTCAGCCCGATATGTCCCTCCGAGGCGGGGAGGAAGCAGGGTGTGAAATCTGCTGTGGGCTTTGCGCATGCCAGGAGGGCTGCTGCTAGAGTCTATGCGAAGTCCAAGCCCCGAGTCCACCTCCTTCCCCAACACCAACCGTTTGGCCTGGAGGACGTCGGAACCCGTCAAAGTTGTCTCTCCTCCACTTGAATCAGCTATCTTCTCCACCACTCACTGAACCCGAGGAACCCAAGGAGCGCAAAAAAAGCATTGCATTTGATCTTAGCCGTAGTCATATTTCTGATAAGAGTCTGGGTAGCCGCCCCAATGTCAACACCCAGAAAACAAATAACCACACCTGGCGTGCATTGAACGCAGAAGAGGACCAGAGGCTTTCAGGCTCCTCTATATCCGGCGGCAAGGGAAAGTCCAAGGCGAAATCGGCTGTAAAAACCAAGGCAGTATTACGGGTTAAAACTCCCCCAGGCGAGGCAGAAGACGAGTGTAAGGATGTGCCCGATGACAACCAAGAGGTGGAACAAGAGGAAGGTGAACAAGACAAGGGAAAGGGAATGGCTACGGACGATCTCGGGCATGATGATGAACCTCGCTTAGATGATAGAACTGTACATGAGCAACGAATTGTACCAATCAGACTAAAATCATCAATACCTTCAATATGTCACACAATTCATGAGGACCCTAAGGAGGAATAGCCAATCGGGATAGTACTGCTTAGCACGGAGCGTTGTTTGTTTACAATCCTGTTAACCAGTAGCTATTGAGTTTGAAATAACCTCAGCATTTATAAATTATAGGCCGAAACATGTTTTTGATCATGTTCGTAGGACCTAGTGGTGCAGTAACATTGTACGCTAGGTAGTCGTAGCGGGCAAGACCCCAATCGTCTCAGCGAGGCCACCGTCGCAGGCCCAGTAATTGGCAAATGGGTGTTGTACACGGGGGTTAGGCGGAACCCCCTTTGCTATCATGTTTTTTGCTCCCTTAACAATGATGCATCATGAGACATGTTTGCTATATCCATCATATCCGACATGTAACAAACTTCCAACTCAATATGACGGCAACATAACGTACTAGAATCAAAAGGAGCCAGAGGTGTAAGCACAGAGGTTTTTCCACTGCTGGTTTAGGTTTCTCAGAAAATTGCTATTCAAATGGCTTTATCCTGGCCTATCATACTTTGGGTTTGACCCGATTCCGAACGCTTTAATCCATCGTCCTTGATTTTTATTGTAGTGTCTGCTCATGCAGACCGTGGCTAGTGAAGCCCAAGCCGAAACACCGATATGCGCCTTGGTAGTCAGACAAAACCAACTGGCGTATCAAGGTAACAAACCCTTGTTACAACCCAACATTATCATGATCTCGTCTCATCGTGTCTGACAGCTCGTAAACCAAATTCTTCAAGACACATGTTTCAATCACCTGCCCTCGAGCGCGATGGCAGCCCGTTCAAGAAACATGTTGAAGTCTTTGATTTGTTTAAGAGTTCCGCCTCCTTCACCTGTCGCGCTAACTTGGTTCGTGATCTGAGAAATCAAGATGTCTAGATTTGCCAACTCGGCGACTTTGTGTTCTTTTGGATTCAGTGGAGGCGCCATCTTCCCGTTCTCGACAGCCAATTCGATATCGTCCATGGCAGAGGATAATCCCAATTGATACTGGATCAGTCAGTATGTCGTAGTATTAAAGGAAAGGAACGAGAAACCCACTAGCAATTCTTCGTTGGCGGTTTCGTGTCGCATCCTGACAGCGTCCATCTTGAGAGCTACTTGCTCCCTTTCAGCACGGATTCTCAATATTTCGTTACGAAGTGAAACCTTTTCTTTCTGCGCTGCGCGAACCCGCTTCTTAAGCGTGCGGAGATTGTCGAGGGCAATGGTCTAAATAGATTAGTTCACATATGATAGCACGAAAATGGAGACAACTTACTTGTGTCTGCAGTCGTGTCCGTAGTTCCTCTTGAAATGCCTCTACGACTCGTAGCTTTGTCCTATACATCTTTCTATCCGCTGATCCATCTGCTTGGTTGGCTTCTTCATGTAGGGCTGTGAGGTATTTGTCAAGTGACTCCTCACACATCTGTAGTACCACATCAACGATATTGGGAGACTTGTGATCAGTAAAAGGGATGTCGGCATCGAGGATATCCTCATCTGCATCTTCCTCATTGCGTCGTAATGGTTTTGTGTATCTCTGAACAGTGACGGGGATGGAATCTCCATTGCTTTTCCGTCTCACTGAGGGCCTTTTCTTCTTCTCCTTGATAGCCTTTGGTTGTGCTTGCTTCACAGGGCTGACTTTCTTTCGCTTTAATCGGCTCGTTCTGCCAGACTGCTCAGCCCCGACACTCGGAGAGTCAACACTACCCGCATTGCCGGATAGCTGCTTCCGACGAGGACTGATTCTAGGACGCTTGCGACCTATTCGTTGGGCAGCTTCGAGGTCGTCAATTTCCTCAGCTTCTTCATGATCAGCCGTAACCTCGGCTTCAACTTCGGCCTCAGCCTCGATTTGTTGATTATCGTCCCCGCTATCCTCAATCTCGTAGGGAGATTCAAGAATGGTATCTGGTATCTTTCCTTTCAGATGAGGCTTCCTAGGACTTCTAGTACCTGCAGCATCTGGAGGCGAAGAAAGTTCGGCGGCCTGAGGGGTAGTTTGCAGATGCTGGCTCCGTGTAGACCTGACTGAATCTGCCGCTGCTGTGCTACTACTCTGGCGAGATCGACGGGCAAGGGGCGACGATCCATGAAGCGACTCAACTGGCGACGAGGATGTTTGCCGTACACTTGCTCTTGTTGTCCTTCCAGAAAGAGTACCCACCGTTGCCATGCTTTGCCTAGCTTTCCGTACTAATGGCGAAGATGTCGCTACTTCACCTGTAAGTCCTGCTTCTTCTTCTTGCATGACTACCCTTTGCAATTTCGTACTCTGAGTCACGGCGTCTGTTTGTTCGATACGGCGGCGACGGCCACTGCCGGGAGCTGTGGCAGGGCTTTCCGTAACTTCTTCCACAAAGTCTACCATAGATACATCCGAAACTCTTGATGCCGCCGATCCTCGTGATTGTCCCGAAACCCGTCGCGGAGTAGGATTCAGCAACGTCTCCGAGTCTCCCTGCTCCTGGGGTTCTCCCATGGTTATGTCAGAAGCTGGCAAGCCGCTGTGAGTACCATTGATGACGCCATCCTGGGGTCTATCGCCGGGGTTCAGATCCAGTGTACTAAGCCGGGCCGAAATTCTTTTCGTCGTTGTGGGTGGCGAAACTTGCGGCCAACCGCTTGTTCGTGATACCTCTTGGTGGATTGCATTGATCTGGGCGGACTTTTGCCCACTACTGAGTCGTGCTGAAGATCTTGTCGCAGTTGAGGCGCTCGACGGTTGCGAATCTGCTGACCCATGATTGTTGTTCAGTCGCCGCCGCTTCGCAGAGGTGTTAGGCTCCGAGCGTATCTGAGGCAATGAAGGAGATGGATCGGGAGAGGTCTCAGCAACGGGCAAAACGAAGCCAAAGGAATCATCGCCAACTTCATGACGTCTGTTTAGACCGCATTAGGATAGACAACGTAGTAAGACATAAGAAAAGCACAGAAAACTGTACCCAGCTCCTCGCATGCGCTGTTGCATGCGCTCTTCTCGGCCTAATGATGTTGGGTTAGTGCTAAGTTCGATAGCGCTCAGATTTGAGACTTACTGGTGGCCATGACAGTCACAACGGTGATTTTCTATTTTCAGTATAATACGAAACCATTGCGAAGCATGAACAACCCTGATAGCAATTTTATAATAGCTCACCACACGCAAGCTGATTGGCGTACGCAATATATCCAAATGCTAGATGTGACGCGTCGTAGATACGCGCCGAGCTCAACCCCACCATAATTGTGGCTTATACTATTGTGTAACTGCCTAGGCAATGTCCTGACTAAGCCACAGCTGAACTGTCGGGGCAAGTGTGGCCCAGAACATACCTACGTAATGCAATAGGTAATGCAGCGTGATTGGAGCTACCTACCTAGATAGCGTTCAGCCCCTAACAGTACGACCTGAGACCTGAGACGGCGACATCGTCACCTGCCACTCGGAACAGGCATCCGACCATCGCGCAGTCAACTAAGTCCTTTCCACTTCGTATGATTATGCCGCGCATCTCTTGATATGTGAGCCCGGACTTCTTGATACGCTATTCATCACAGGCCTCTTCTCGTCTCGCAGCATCGAATCGCGGTAGTCGTAATAGGTTGTACCAATCGGCAAGATGGGCTGGAACGTGCGTCGCGCATGGCGCATAGCTCCCTCTTTCAAGCCCAGTGTTCTGACTTGTTATTAGATCTTCCGCATCCTGGGAGATGTCTCTCATCTCCTGTCAAAGGTTATCATCATATATGCCATTCATCGCAACCGAAGCGCGGAAGGTACTTGCGCCTCAGAAACAGTCACGGATCACCATTGCAGAAGCTAATCATTGGCCTTAGGTGTCTCGTGGATTACTCAAGTCCTATATGCTGTTGTTTTCTGCTCTAGATACACCGATATATTCACGGAAACGTCGTCATGGAATTACTTCTTCAAGCTGTTTTATATCCTCTCCTCTATTTATATCATCGCTATCATGCGCTGGCTCTATCCACGAACAAGGGAGCGCGAGGTGGCTTGGAAGCTAGGAGCTGCGATCCTCGCCGGGTCGCTATTAATAGCTCCATTTGTGATGCTTATCTTTGAGGGCAAGGAGCAATGGTCCTTCTTCACGGTTCGTGTTATTTTCTACGCTCGCTGCTTGACCCTGCGACTAACTATCTTCTCAGTGGGTTTGGGATTTCTCTCAGATACTTGAATCGATCTGTGTCTTGCCTCAACTGCTTCTCCTTCGACAAACGAATGTCCCAACTGTCATCGATTCATTCTACCTCATTTCCCTAGGCTCCTATCGCGCTCTGTATTGTCTCAACTGGATATGGAGAGAGCTAGACCCGAACGATCGGAAGCCCAACGCCGTGTCTGTTATCTTCGGCATCATCCAAACGGCACTCTACTTCGATTTCTTCTGGGTATATTACACGCGACAAAGGGTTAAGCTTCGATATGGCGGCATCGTCGATGCAGATGACATTCGGCGAGGTTGGCTCCTTAATCGCATCTTCGGTAACAAGCACTTCGAGAACGATCAAGAGGATGAGGAGAGTGCTCCAGCTCTAGGTGGAGACGAGCACGGCAATACCTCATCCCAACGGAGATCAAAGTGGGGTGCCCGTGGTATATCAATTAGTGCCGACGACACGACGCTCGAGCACGAGCAACATCACGACCCAACTGATGAGATTGCGGGAAGGGTCGATCCAGATGCCAAAATGAAGGATCCTGATGAGTTTGCACGAGCTCTTGAGGATGACGATGATGACGATGATGATGAGGTGGCGACCCCATCAGGATCGAACACAAACTCAGCCAAGAACGTACCTCCTGGTGTGAACAATGAGAATGAATGGCGGAATAACTAACAGCCCAGACGTATAATGAGTTCGAGCATACGGCAATCGACTTCTTGCAGGAACATGAGATCCTGCTAAATAGAGTACTTCCTGGAATTATCCACAAACTAAACGATCATTTATTCCCCATTTTTCTAGGTAGGACGGGGCGCATGGGAGTCAAAACTGAGAGCATAAACATAAGCGACCAATAAGACGCAATCTGTACGATATTCGCAGGATTACTAGTGTATTGAGTATTTTGATCACACTTGGCAGAGTTCACTTATCGAAATAATGTGTTTTCGTGCCCTAGTTTGTAGGTCTCAGCGTCTTGCTCAAATCTAGACGTAAGAAACGAGACCGAAGGTAGGAAAACGGTCTAGCTAGTCCTGATTAACCACCTTTAACACTTCTTGCACAAGTCGCAGCTACGTGTAATATTGCCAATTTGACTACGGACTTGTATCCGAATACCTAGTATCGAGAAGCCAAGGCTTACTTCAAACATATACTTGCTTTCTACGAAAATAAATGACCCTATCCCGTCAAACACAAATTCCCAGAGACCGTCCTACGGTATCCGTGAAATGTGCCAGTATGCCCGAAGAAGGCCTAACCCTCCGCTCTGCGTCTCAACAGTCCGTCCACGACCACGGTCGTTCGGGTCTTTCGCATGATGTTGTCGCCTTCTCACGGTCCCAAGGGGGGTTTGTTCCGCGTCTCCGCCAAGCGGTATCTGATCCTTCCTCGCGCCATATATCCGCGGTGTCTGCGTAGGTGCGAGCATCGACGCGCTACTGCGCCACACGGCGTTGTCAGGGACCCCGGAGTTGCGGTAATCAGTAGCGTTGGGCACATCGGGGATACCGTCATCCGCCCGCGTCGGCCACGCGCCCGTCCAAGTCCCCGCCGTCCACCACTGTCCGAAGCGGCCCGACGCGTCTCGCGTCTCCAGCGCAGCGAGGACATTGTGGCACAGCCAGCCGCGGTAGGATTTGCACGCGTCGGCATGAGACCTGCTGATCTGTGTGAAGGCGCCTTCATGGACTCGCAATCCGAGCTCTGCGGGCGGCGTCTCGAGGGGCGCGCAAAAGGCCGTGAGATGGTGGAAGAAGATCCCTTTGAACGTCTGTCCGTCCTGGCTGCAGGTTGCGCTCGCGTCGCAGTCTTCCTCCATGATTCCCAGTCGTCCTAGCCCGTGCCAGCGAGGAAGGACGCCGGCTTTTAGCTCCGGGAGGCCTTCGATGGGACTGTCTGACTTGAGATCGTAACCCGTGGCTTTGATCACATTTTGAATCAAACGGTGACCGTCCTTGAGAAATGATGGCGCGCCGGTCGCATCCCATAGGCCGCGCTGGCCAGTCAAGATAACGCCTTGGTTGTACGTAAAGACCATCTCGTCACGAGCGTCGCAGCGAGTGTTGTTGTTGTTTTCGTCGAGATATCCGCTAATGTGAAAGCCATCGACTATCAGCCCCTTTTCATTTGTCATGTTAGAGTTACGTAGCCATCTGTAGCCTTCGACGGCCGCTTTCAGATACCTAGCGTCACGGGGTCCACTGGATATGTCGGAATCTGGGTCAGAGGGATTGAAGTTGTCAGGGTGGTCACTGAATGGCGATTCGTTGTCGTCGCCGGGAAAATTGAAGTACATCGAAACGGAGGCGGCAATGAAGAGCTCGTTGGTGATGGCATTTTTATATGGCAGTAACCGGGGGTTCCAGATCATTCCTCCGTTGCATAACTTGGTGTCCCAACCTCGCGAGGCAAGATCCCAGAATATACGCGCCCGATGCGAAAATGTCGGAAGCCATGTGGTTCCATGATAGGGCTGGTTGGTTGTTCCATCAGTTGCCCCATCAGCGCTCCCTGGTGAGGCTTGAGACAGGTTCGCATTAACCGGTGTGAAATATAGTTCGTCGTGGGCATTGACGAGTTTGATCGTTTCGAGCCAGCCCAGAACTACCCAGAGGATATCATCGTAAGCTTCGTTCCTTATGGCGAAGGCATCTTGGCCGAAGTAGTAGCCAACAAGTTGGGTAAAGTATTTGTCGACCAAGTTAGATGTCCACCTCCAGTCAACAGCATTGTGGTCATTTGAGTTGATTAATATCGAGTCTTGCGATATACTGCGCGTGACCCCTGAGACGTGTGTGCCTATCACGGCCGCTGTCCAGTCGATGGCATCGGGCCAGGTGCCCAGCCAGGGAGCGAAGAATTCCGATTGTGTGACATTCAGCGCATTCACAAGGTCCGCAAATAAATTGCTTCCGCCAGAATGTTCTGACCTAGTTTTGCTTTTTGGTGCATCATCTAGGAAAGCAGGCAGAAAGCTTGCTGGCGCGACTGGATTGCACTCGCTCTGTGACTTTGAAAACACGGTACACTTATCAGGCAGACTCAACCCAACTGCCACCGATGCGCAAAGGAACCATGCCAGCGCAATTCGTAACATCGTAGCGGCCACTTTTAGGATTTCAGTCGCAGCCGTATGAGCCAGCGTAGATGGAGGGCTGAGTTATGATATATTGTGATGAGGGCTGGCGTGTTCAAACACAGGGCATTTGATGGGATCTCTGACAGGGACATGTCAACATATCCAAAGTCAGTTCGAAAACAGAAATCAGATCAAGAAATCCAGTCAGGGCCGCTCTAGACTTGAGAATCTGCAGAAGAGGCACGACCATGCACGAGTCTAAATACCAAACGAGGAATTAACAAAGCCGATTCCCAAAAATAGTACTCCTCTTGCTACTGAACACAGAACAACACAATACTACAACTCATGTGGCCAAAAACAAATCTAAATGGCCAGATTCGACAGGTTTAAGGACAAATCTTGGACAACACTGTAGTGTCACTTGAAGTTGACAAGCACGGTGGAGGGTAAGATGATCTGATCTCTAAGACAGCGATGTCATACTGGTAGCCCCATCTACTCAGCTGAGGCGCCCTTGCGTTCCCCATGTTTCAGATCAAGCTGCGGCGGGGTACTTTGCGCCAATCTTAACCAGGTTAGCCGGCATATGTACGAATTCGCCGCTCAAGGTTCACCTCCATGTGATGGTGGGCAGGTATGTGGGCATGTATTAACTTTCCGTTAGGAGGATGAATCGCAAGATATTGTAGACGGAGAGTTTTTGTCGGCTACATTTTCAATAAACTATATGTAGGTACTAGGTATATGAAGCACAGCAAGCTAGAGAATGTGAACTAAAGCAGGGGTGATAGGTGTATTGGTATACCCAATGCTTCCAGACTATGTATGTAGCCGTCCATCAAGAGAGTAGGTATTTCCTTCCTATTTGTACACAAGACAATCGTCTATATCATTGCCATGGCTTCTGTTTCTTTAAAGTTCCGAGCGGATTTGTTGAGTACTCCGCTACCCATCGACGTTCCTTGAAGCTGTACATTCTACAACACAATGTACATGAGCATCCTAGATCGCACTATTCAATGCAATGATTCATTGCAGCTAGTATACCGGTTCCATCAAAGGAACCGTTTCTCGAATTCCCGGTATAGTTGAGGGCTAATCTCATCACTGCTGAGGCCATGGACCTCCCACAAAACGCCTTTCTTGGCATAATGCTCCAATAGAGGTTCACTAGTCTCTTGGAATTTCTGGAACCGTGCCCGGTAGACCTCCTCGCTGTCATCGACGCGCTGTACAAGGGGCTCGCCCGTGATGTCATCACGGCCTGGCACTTTTGGCGCATTGAATGTGGTGTTGTATACACGGCCAGACGGCTCGTGCACCCATCTTGACGATATGCGCTCCATAACCACCTCAAACGGTGTCTGGAGTGACACTACCCAATTAATAGGCACAATATCGTCCAGTCGCTCAGCCTGGACTGCAGTGCGTGGAAACCCGTCAAGCAGAAACGAGGCTGTTGGGTCCTCGGAAGCTTGGCGCGACAGACTTGCGCCTGCACTTGGGTCTGTGTCCAGGCCTGGTATAGGTGAATCCGCCGCAATGTCGATGGCAGAAGCGCCATCACCCGGAGCGGCGGAAGTAAAGGACATGAAGCTAGGCTGGCCGTTTGAGATCCATCCGCGCTGGGAAAGTTCATTGGTGATCAAGCGAAGAATCATGTCATCGGGGACCAGGCCGCCGGTTTTCATGGTCTTCTCGACCTTGATGCCGAGGGGGGTGCGGTTCTTGACATTGTGGCGGAGAAGGTCTCCGGACGAAATGGCTGACAGCTGAGGGAAGCGCGAAAGTAGACGTTCGGACTGGGTGCCTTTCCCAACACCGGGCGCGCCGACAAGGATCACACGAGCCGCTCGGCGAAGGCGCATAGTATGCAGAACCAGGCAAATCAATCGATGTTTCGGTACGTCCGGAGATGCAGCAATGTGAGAGGCTCGGAGAGCGGCCGAGTGTGTGTCGGATCGGTTGAATGCGAAGTCGAAATCAACAAGGTAAAGCCTATATTATTATTTACCACAGCGATGCGATGCAAGGATCGAGAAGGCAATGGACAATGTCACCGAGTCGAATGATTTCCCCAACTCAGATGGCCGGCGACCGAGGGGCGAATGCGTCCAAGGCTCGACGTGACGATAACGGGACAGACCCAGGCGGATCCCGAGTAAAGAATCAAACCATGTTCATTGTATCGCACACGCTTCGTTGTCAAGATTGCAAAACGATAGGACTTGATGGAGAGGTGGGTTGAGGAGGCGAAGCGAGAGTGGGAGTGAAAGTGGCACGACCGCGCAATTGACGGCGGGGATTAGAGCAATTGACTCTCACCAGGTCCAACCCCGAGTCTCGGTGTTGCCTCCCGCTGTAGCGCTGACGTGCATTTCCCGTTGATTAAGCTTGTTGGGGAGCTGCTGCAAGGCGTGTCTTGGGTGCCTTTAGGTGGTCCTTAGGTGTGGTCCTTAGGTGGTCCCACTAACTGTAGCACACAACTCACCGAACCCCGGATCTGCCCGGAGTTCCCTACAGGCCCAACAAGGGAACAAGCAACCCGCTGTGATGCACCCCAACTGTGCTACAACCACTGAATTAGTGGGTTGGTTCTTGACATTGACACCCAGTTCAAACATTGTGGCGAATTGGTCAAAGAGTTGTATGCAACGTGTAATTCAGTCTGAGTCTACTTTGTCTTAAGTAATCTGATTGAACTGTCGGCCTGAGCAGAGCCTGAGTCAAGAGTGTTGCGATTATTTCCCTTCAACAAGGATTCCTAGTAAACGTAAGTGATCTCTGCCCTTTGTACCTCTTCCGGATTGAATAGTAACTTGCCTTGCCCGGATCTGCCCGGAGAATACGCGACCACGAAAGATTCATAATGATATCCAGGGCCTAAATCCGGCTCGAATTGCCAATCATGGAAAGCCTCTAACAACTGATACATAGTTGTCCGGGTTCTCTAGCTATAATCATGGTCGAAATTTGGAGCAGTATCCGGGGAAGCCCCTGCTTTGGGTCTCTGGCTTACGAACGTTCTCTGCTTAAAATTCCGTTTCGTATCAAGGTGACGCATAAAGAACTCCAGGGCTGTTTGCTGTCATTTCATTGAATAAGCTTAGGCATTATGTAGGTACATAGGTAGGCATTTGCATAGTCGCAAATATGGGACTAACTGATGACCATCTGTAGGTTGGCCCAATGTTCGTCGGTCACAGTGTACTTTAGGTAGTTTATCTAAGAATGTACATAATCTGGATGCCTCGGAGATCTGTGTTAGTAGTCTTGTAAGCCAAACTCCTATGTTAGAGCATAGTCGAGCTCGTAGGACATATACCCCCTGCATCCGTCTTTTTCCATTACAAGCAGTTTCATCCCTGACCGAAATAAGTTCCAATCACCCACATAACGAATTCTATCACAAGGGCATCCTCTTCAACTTGAAAGCAACGACTGCATGCGTTGATTTGCAGCTTGTAGACGCCTTGCGGTTCCCTGGTTTGTTTCAATTTAGATCTACTGATCTACTCAGAAAGTTAGACGGCATTAATTCGCAGAGGGGAATCATTCCATTATCCAGCCTTCTCCGGGTGACCCCAGGTTGAAAATATAAATTACAGAATGCTCTAGCACAATACGAAGCCCTCTTTCCTCAACTCCCACGAAGCTCTCGGGTATTAGATATGCCAATTCATCATCGCATACCCTGGTGTCGCTATAATCGTACAGTCATGGTGGTATCGGAGACTCTGCCCGAGAAATTCCAGTTCCAGGTGTGTGCCGTGTCGGCACCGCATGGTTTCATTCCGTCATCGTGATGTGTTTTACAAGCTCAACCGCCGAAGCCGAAGCCACCGCCTCCACCCCTGTTTTGTGATTCTTGCTGAAGCTGTTCTGACACTTTCATGTGCACATCGAAGAATTTGGCGGCGCAGCGATCGAGGCAGACGCCCTCGCCCTTGTTAAGTTCGGCTTCGCGATAGTCGGTGGGGATGCACTTCTTTTGGCACGCTTTTGTGAGGCTAGTAAAAGACACTGTCAGTGCATCGACCTCTGGTGTTTACTGGTGCTTTATGGGGTAAAGTAACGTTTGCAGTGCATGGTCGTGGGCGTTCGACACTCGCTGCACTTACCGGCTAGCCATCTCAGTGAGTAGCTTCATTTCAGCCTCGACAGAAGCGATCTTCTCTGCCGACGACGGCTGGGATCTTCCGAGTCCTAGGAACGACATTTTCTGCTATACGTAATGGTTTTAGAGAATTCGGACTGGACTGCCTGGGTTTTGTGTTGGACGGTGTATCTTTGCTAGACATTGGCCTGCTCAAAGCTGCTGCTACGACTTGCTGTCAAACCAAGCCTCCGAATACCGTAATGGGAAGGCGGTGTAGCGGATAATCATTATGCCATTGGTCATTGAGCCAGCAGAATTAAAAAAAAGCCCATCTGCAGGTCCCATAGGGCATTTAGAGCATTAGCCGCCTAGTACCGAAGCGTGCTTTTTTTTCCTGCTTAGGTAGCGAATCTTTCTTCTACTCTCGATCTTAGGGGGGGAATTTATTAGAATAATTAGAGGGCAATTACATTGTTTTATCATACCCCAATCTTAGATCTTTTTACTTCTGAATAAAATCCCATCATTTCATAGCATTCAAACTTTCTAGACCAAACTACAGTGAGAAAGGGAATGAGCAAATCTAGATCACTTGTCTGAAGTCAGAGGCTCTGCAGAGAGTCTACTATCTCTGTGAGAAGTAAGTCAGTATATCTTCTTCACACTCGCCCCCATAATATGATGATATTGCTTTTTAAGAACCGTTGCGACTGACACCATATTTGTGGTGCTTGATCTCACTGTGCCAGCCTATCTGATCTCTCCCTTTATCATACAATCTTCTTCATGTTAGGTGTAATCCGGCAACAAGGCTAACTCGTCAAGGGTCATTGGGATGGAAAACACGCAATATCTACGATTCTTGCGCCCGTACCTGTTCGGACTGCCACCAGCTAACAGGGCGGCATATTCGCGGCTCTTTGCGTCGTGTACAAGGGCACATCCCAGGTCCATCTCACGTACTACACAAAACAATGATGTATCCCAGATTACCGGGGTGAGGCGATTCATGAGCAGCGAATCTGAAGTAGCAACTGCAGCTGCCCATTCAGACACGATCCAACAACGTGTCCATAAGCTTCAAGATTATGACGTTCTCCGATTTCCCAGGCTAGATCACAAGGCTGACCGAATGACGATACCGGCTTTTCGTGAGAAGTTCCGGGATGAAGTATCAACCCCACCCTCAGAGAGCATCACACTAGAAGGCAGGATCATGTCAATAAGACGGTCTGGATCCAAGTTGGTTTTCATGAATATTCTAGGCGGATATCAACAAGTGCAAGTCATGGTGCACTTGGGCAGTCTCGCTTCGCCATCTTTGAACTCTGAAGTTTTCAGAAACGCCCTCCATCCATTGTGTCGTGGAGATATTGTCTCAATCACAGGCACAACTATTCGGACAAAGACCGGGGAATTAACATTAAGGGCACTCGAGCTCCCTACTATTCTCAGCCCAGCTCTCTCACCCCTCCCAGAAAAGCTGACTAATGAGGAGACCAAAGTCTTGAACAGACATGTTGACTTGCTTGTCAATCCACGGACTTCTGACATCCTCCGACTTCGCTCTCAAGTTATCAAGTCCATGCGGGAGTTTTTGCATGAGCATGATTTTCTCGAAGTTCAGACTCCTATCTTAGCTGACTCCGCTGGCGGAGCCATGGCACGGCCATTTTTGACCACAACAGCTTTATCCGAGAAACAATTAGCACTGCGGATTGCCCCAGAGCTTTGGCTCAAACGACTGATCGTTGGCGGTAACGATAAAGTCTTCGAAATAGGTCCGTCCTTTCGAAACGAAGGCATCGATACAACACATAACCCGGAATTTACCAGTTGCGAATTCTACTCAGCTTACTTCAACCTAAAAGATTTGATTCAAATGACAGAAAGCCTCATCACCCGCCTCCACCATGATGTTAATCAAGCCATAGCGACCCGCCTGACGTCTCTTCAGAAACCCCAATTTTCGATGCCGGACGGCCAGTGGAGCCAGGTCGAATTCATCCCTGCACTTGAAGATAGTCTCGGTTTCCATTTCCCTGATTTATCGAAACCTAGTGCTCTGGAAGAGCTTACCAGCCTACTTACAGAGCACCACCCCTCATTGGACATTTCAGGAATGTCGCTTAACAAACTTTTGGATCATCTAGCTGTGACCTATCTCGAGGATGCATCGTTGTCTCAGCCATTATTCATTATACACCAACCTGCTTGCATGTCGCCTCTCTCAAAATCGTTCATTTGCCCCAAGACAGGTCAACTTGTCTCCGCGCGTGCCGAGTTGTTCATCGAAGGTCGCGAGATAGCTAACATGTATGAGGAAGAGAACGACCCCTTTGAACAACGTCGAAAATTCGAACTTCAGGTAGAATCCAAAACCAGAACTATGGTAGCCTGTGAGGAAGGACCAGGTGAAGTAGACGAGAGTTATGTACAGGCTCTCCAAAGCGGTCTTCCTCCAACTGGCGGATGGGGCTGTGGTGTTGACCGACTCATCATGTTGTTTTCTGGCGCGGCCAGGATTAGTGAAACCCTTTCCTTTGGCAATTTGAAGAATGTTGTCTCGCTTTCTCAAGTCGCCAAGAGCTCCTAGGTTTCGCCGTGTATATCATTATTACATATGTGTATTAGACGACTTCCGTTAGATATAGAAATAGCCAACCAGTACACCATTAATACTGTTTATCAATGAGGTAGCTATGGCATTTACGGTCATACCCTGGCTATTCGATACAATTATTAATCATACACGTCCATCCTCCCTTAGCGGTTTTCCCTACTCATCACAACATCAGTTAAGCCGTCACATCTCTGATATTTCCAGGGTCTAATGCCCAAAGGAGCCGAGGGCATTCAAACTTGGACAATGATATATCCATTTACCCAATTTGCAACTACTAGCAAGGAGTTTTACAAATAGGAGTATCATAGACTTAGCATCATTTGCATCAGAATTGATCATGTCACCCACATTACGAGAAAAAAAAGATACTGAGATTTCGACGTGAAAAAACTTTCATTTTCCTCGCCTAGCATAATGCAACGCCCGAACCCCGTCCCCTGCAACGCGCAGGATCCATAGTATAACTTTCCCCTTTTGCATACAGTGCCTAGCCCTCGATGAGATCCTCAGAAAAGAAACTGAGATTTCAAATCTACAGCATCATCATAGGAACCCATCGCATAAAAGCATCGCTCGACCCTGTCCGTACGCCTTTTCCCATGCACCATGTCCTGCCATAATATAGTCCTTAGACCAGCGCTCATCCCATATATTCCTCCATCGTCATCATATTCGTCGTCGCATATTCCATTTAAACCCTTGAGAAATCAACGCATGTATGCTGTGCGACAATCTCGATCGTCCAGGATCGAGAATCGGCGCAGCCCAGCACAATATTATTATAGATGGTGCGAAATCATAACTCGTTCCGCGTCATCGTCTGTCCTCTTCACCCTTCCCTGATTTGAAGGTGATTGCAATAGTTGTAAAAAAAATGATCCACCATTGGACGCACGTGAAGTGGTGCTCCCCCCTTCTGTATTTTTCTTTTTTGGTGATGATTGGCGCCGTCCGTATATCGCCGTAGAAGATGATGACAAAATAAGCATCGAGATGAAAAATCGTTAAAATCGAAAAGATTCGGCCCCCACTAAGCAGATTGATCCGTATAATGCAGCATCTGTCTGTGTGGATGTGGATGGGCAAGAAGAGGAAAGTTGGAAGAGCCAAAGAGAAAAAAAAAAAAAATCATAGTAATTGTGCTTTGGGTATATCGCTCAGATCGCGTCGTAGCTGCGTAGAGATGATGAAAGCTTTGGGGTCGGCGTCGTTTCGTAATTCGGGGTCGTGCATGTGTTGCTGAGCGCGAGCATGATATATGTCGTCGATAGCAGCGCGTATTGAGAAATTCAGGCGAGAGGCACCGTTTGTGAACTGATACAGATAGATAGAAAGCTAGTAGGAAGACCACTTAGATCGTTGGTTCTTCCATCTCAAGTGACGGTCTTTTGCGAGGAACCGCGCTGAAGTCAGCCCAAGGCTACTTGCCCCGTTCAGAAGCAGTGCTGTTTTGAGACGCTGGTGTGGTGGCACTGGGCGTTGAGAATATAATACGCAGGATCCTGTTCCTCGGCCGCGGGCTGGTAGGGCATGGCGTGGAAATCACGACAGCCGGCAATAGTGGCGGCGTCTGCTGAATTGCCTCGATCTGGCTGTTGTCGAGAAGTCGCGATGATATAGAGCTATCAGGACTATCTGGCCGCTTGTAGGAGCTGTCGTTGCTGCTTGGGGGTGTGAGACTGGGTTGCTGATCACCAGCTTCAGTTGCGGTGATGACTGAAGATATGGGGGTAGCAAGCGAGTCCGTTGGGCTAGTAGCCGGTGTGTCGTTTTCATCGGGGTCATGATGTACATTCCAATACTCAGGCAGTCCACCTGAGCTGCCAAGCATCGAGGCAACGTTGCTTCTGAAGTTGAAAATCGGTATTGGGGCAAGATTGGAAAAGCCATCCTTCTCAATGGCTAGTTCAGCCCGGTAATCGCGTATATCCAGTTCCCAGCTGCGGCATACGCGTTCTAACGATCCGCTAAGTCCCGTCTGGTTCCGTTGATTGATGCCCAGCTCAAACTCTAGCCGCGATACATCACGCTCGAGTTCATTCCTCCTCGCCGATATCTGGAGTTTATCGTCATAGGAGAGCCCGCCATACATATCGTCAATCATATCGATTGCGCTACGGCTGTCTTTCAAAAGCTCGGGTATTGCGATGGTGAAGTCGTTCCACAACATCGCTGCTTCCTTGAAGAATTTCAGGTCGACCATGCCGGGCCTACAAGGGGTTTTCTGACCATGCTCACTCTTTTTGCCATGTTTGGAGATGTTCCTGAGTACTCTCGTGAGAGGCAACTGTGTGAAGTCTTTGCTCATGAATATTTTTTCTGTGAGCGCGCGTCGTTCTTTGTATAAACGAAAGTTATGTTTTGAAAGATAGCGTGTCAGCTGGCAACCATGACAAAGTATGTCGCTCTCCCGGCGCGCCAGGACGTTTGCCATGAAGAAAGAGGCGGGCATGTCTTGATTGCATTCAACGCAATGCGTTAGCTTGACCTTTCCACGCAGTATGATCAAGTCTTTGAGTTGCTCCTGGAGCATCTCACGGCCATTACAGGCAACGATGAGGTCTTGAAATAGGGTAACTTCCATCGCATGCTTCATATCCTCCGAGATCAACGGGAGCATGTCGTCACCGTGAGAGTAGTGAGTGCCAGATGTACACCATTGGGGCACACCAACTCCGGAGTGGTACTTTTTGGCTTTATAGTCGTGGATTGCCTCAATGCATTTGAGGATACTCGACATTGTACGGACTGGGAGCCTGTCGAGAAACGCCCTGAATCCAGTACCAGGGGTGAAAAGGTCGTGACCACCCTTGTGACACAGGTCTCGGATGCCCAGCAACTGAGCTGTAATAGCTTTGTGAGAGTCGAGCCAATCTTTTTCTTCGGGAACAATACCATATTCGCCGATATGTCCAGTGCCATCCGATTTGTAAGGAGGCCCCTTGTAATAGAAAGGGGTGAAGTCGATGGCGACATGTGGATGACTTTGTTTTGCACGCTCATCATTGATAGCGTTGATGGTTTGTAATAATGGCTGTGTGTCGCCTAGAGTCAAAAGGAAGCACTGGTGGATGCCTAATACTTCTAGCTTTACCATCTGGGGGATGATGCTTCGAAGTGCTCTGAGATCTATCCACGGCATACTATGAAGCATTAAATGCTTGATGTGTTGACCATTCAAGAAAACAAGGTGCACTAGAAACCAGATCGTTAGCAAAACTTCTTAGCAGCGTACAGAACAAAAAGTCCGAAGACATACACATCTTGTAGTGAGCTGTTAGGCTAGTCGCAAAAGCTGTTTGCTTGTATTCTTCGACGCTCGATGTTAGGGGATATCCAGCCCTGTTGGAGATCACCTCCCTCTGGGGGCCTTGGGTCTGGGGACGAACGGGAGAAATTATGACACTTGGCGAGAAAAACTGTGTCTGGGTCTCCTTTATGTCTCTCTTGAAGCCATTGCCCGTTACTTCAGTCCGCGACCTGCGCTGTTCTTCCTTTTCCGCTTCCACACCGCGTACATCCGCCAGTGATCTTTCATCCCACTTCAAGAAGTCGTTGCCCGTCGCATCTAGATGCATCTAGATGGTGATTAGTGCTTAGCTAGTGATACTGAAATAGTACAAGTTTCATACCCAAAAGGCTTGCACCCTGTTTGCCATGAATTGTGATGTTCGGCACAGATTGGTGAGGTCTCCAATTCGAGGAATGATATGGCTGACGATACCGTCGAAAAGCTCAGTAGTACCAAAGACTTGACAGAGCAAGTCGGACTGCTTCGTTTGGGGCTGGGCGAACGACATCGCGCGGAAATATAAGGGGGCCTGTGAGCAACCATTAGAGAGAACACACAGCAGGTCAAAACCGTATGTTTTCTTACCTTCATGATACCGCCTCGAATATTCGGATAATGTATGGCCATTTCGAGTGTTCTTTTCTCATTTGCTGAGAGCTCGTCGATTTTGCGTCCTTCGAAGTTGTAGTATGCTTCAAAGCCAGGGTGGTTTATTGCATCATTGATGCCGGGTTTGCCCGGTGCATCGGACTCCGGTCTAACGAAGATGAAATTATGTTCGCCATCACGAGGCGTTGGCCCCCGAGGCTTCTTGTGAATTACGGATAAGCTTCCAAATTCCCGGGGTGGCTTTAGCTCTTTGGAGAAAAGTGCAGTAGTCAAGTTAGGCGATGCCTCTAAGGATCTTGCTGAGCCACAGGAGCTCTCTAGACGGCAGGGGATAGCGCGGTCATTGACTTTGTCCCGGAACCTGTTAGAACGGGGCGCTTTCAACTCTTTAGAGAAAAGCTCGGTGCTCAAGTTGGACGAAGCCTCTGAGCGAGTTGTTGAGTTAGAAGAGTTTCCTAGTCGGCAGGGGATTGATCGGTCATCGACGTTATCCCGGAATCTATTGGGACGAGGCATCTTGATAGACCGAAGGCAAAGATGAAGCTATTCGATAAGGCGTGTTTCTTAAGCTATCTTAGTAGATGTTAGTCCGGATGCCTGTTTAAGATAGCAAGGGCGCCAGAAGAGGCAGGAACAGCAACACCGAGGTTATAAGATGCAACAACCGGGTGACAAGGTTTATGAAAGATGTCCCGTATGATGAAAGAAGGTAAATGATGAGCTCAATACGCGGATGGCTATGACAAGAATCCGAGGTTGAGGGGAACAGTGTAAGGGAGGCACAAGGTGTACGCGACTGCGCTAACCGCATATCAGTTCTCTGTTAAGTAACTACTCTACTTACTTTGTCAAGCTAGCCGAGTAGATTGTTTTCAGACTTAGTAGTTGCGACGCGGGAGTTGTGAAGTCGCGGTGCGCGCTGGTGATATTCGTGTTTAGTTGAGGAGAAAGTTGTAAAGATGTAGAAAGGAGGGTGGTCAAGTAAACAACAACATGGGAAGAAATATGCTGGACGAGGAACCTATGGCAGTTGATTAAGTTCAGCCAACAAGAATAAAAGATGCAGCTAGTGAGGATCGAAAAGTTAAAGGCCACCGAAAACCTTAGTGTGAGCTCCGCTACTCTGAAGTTTAATCTATTGATGTATGAGAGGGAGACAGATGGTGATTTGAATAGAAAGTAGTTTAAATAGGTGAAATTGTCTCGGTGGTGGGCTTGCGATGGGTTTCATGTAAGCAACTCTTAGCCTACCATTACATACCATCAACGATAGTGATGCCGGTCTGGGATCTCAGTAACCTGGATTGCCGAGAAAGCTCACGTCGTAGTGTAAAATCAAGACACGGTCGTGTTTATTGTTGAATCTATCAGGGTGGTACTGATGTGATAAGTGATTAGGAACCAACGTAGAAGGAAACGGGCAAAAGCCAGGGCCTTCTCGATCATCCGAGGGCAAGTAGGCACAGAGAGTAGAGTGAGTAAATAGAACCTGTGTATCACTGATCTAGAGTGCGCTCAGTAACATCCGATATGTCTATTAGGTGTTGCTCGGAGTGAACACGGAGGTGCGAATGTGTAGCTAGCAGATGCGTTTCCTCCATTCACTTACCTTGATGTGAGGTAACAGTGCGTATAGACTTGATGTATGGCGGTTCTTGTCCCTATATGTTTCTGTTAAAGCTACCAAAGGCCATCTATGATATGGTGGAAGGAGCTGGAAATAGTGATATGAGTGCCTGCCTAACTTGTGGCAGACGTGTAGGAAAGCTCAGAATAACATTGCTTAAATGAGTTCCAGGATGAGGCTTAGAAGATGTTGTAGTAGCATTGATTGGGATATCAGTAGCCGCGGAACAGGTTTCTGGGTTGCAATACTTCCTTCCCGTATGCAAGACACATATCAATGGTTTCTTGCTATGATCGGTAACGAATGCCTAGATTATCAAATACAAGTCATATATATAATCTCATAATGAAAAATCTTATCTCGAGTAGAACCAGAACTCATCGCTGCTTGCCTTGTTCAGTTTCAGTCAACTACCGAGACAGTTTGGCCGGAAAGAATTTTTCAGTCATAGCAAGTGAGGCGGCAGTTAGTAGGTCAAATATGGATGCCTGAGGCACTGCCTAGTTTGAATCTCTTTGGAGGTTCTGGTAGCACAAGAGAGTGGTTCGTCAAATTCATCCTACACGGAGAAGGTGCGCCGAAACCCCGGGATAAAATTACTACAAGACACAATCTATCCAATAAGCCGAATGAGAAAGAGCAATGATAGTTCTTTCATCCCTCTGCAACCGGTCTACAGAAGTCCAAAGCGTCTATGCATGAAGATTGAAAAGGTAGTATGTATAATATTGCGTGCCTTAGTTGTCTCGTTCCAGACTCTTCAGAAAGATGGCGCAATGAACTTATATCATAAGGAGTGTCAGAAAAGCACAGAGACCGTGGAAGGATTATGCAACGTAGCAAGCAGCCTTTCAAGTCTTTGACAAAAGTGCATGGCATCTAGGGCACTACAGCCGGGAATGGAAACCTTCCCCAAAAGAGACCAAGATTGTGAATATAAAACCAGTAAAAGATAGCAGATGGTTGTAATCGAGCGATGAAATCTATACTTGATGCTGTGGGGTGTGAGGGCACAGTTCTGAGGCAATGCGGGCATAGCAACAATTCCGCTACTTCCTCAGCTACGAATTTGTATTGTACTGAACTTACTATTATCTCGCGAATACTGTAGGGCAATTCTCTGGAATTAGATGACCTTGACATGATAATCAGTATGGTTAAAAAACTGACCCCGGCTAGGTACCACCAAGGATTACATGTCGTTTCTTTCATTAGGTGGCAAGGCCACGATAGTCGACGCCGAGGGTGAAGATCAACCGATTTATCTATGCAATCAGGCTCGATATCTCGTTAAAAAATACACTCAGCAAGTTTGCAACTGAGAAATAGGTGCGGTGGTAGTGCCTACCTGTACCTGTATGTGAGTTAAGAGGTCAAAACTGGAGCTGCTGATTACATAATCTGATCGACGTAGCATGTCCAGCATTTCGTCCAGGTGTGGAAGGCCGGAAATGGAGCGGATGCAAACTACCGTCTCATGCAGCAGTGTTTATGCCACTGCCTCTGTAAGTAGCCGGTTGGTGTTTGGGAAAATGCCCGGCTTGAGTCCGGCCAGAATCCGGCGTTTGAGGGAACAATCCGATTGTTGTGCAATGTAACTTGAGAAAGCTGGATGACTAATCCGCATATCACAAATACCTAGGTAGTTGTAAGTATGTGGGCAGTACTGCTATATGGCTAGACGGCTTTTCATCGAAATTTGTCGAGCAGTTTTCGCATGGAACCGCAGAGTCGTCCGATCTAATGATAGACTTGGTGCAGAAGTTGGTGAAGCGGTATCTGCGTATTGTAGCCCCAGATGCAGCATAACCGCGCAGATCCCGGTCAATAGTCGTAACAAGTATACTTCTTCGTACCGAGCTGCGACTTACCGCCTTTTGCGTCGAATGGTGCCTATCTCATGAGATGGCAGAGTGTGATGATGATGGTACTGGTATGATTCCTACCGTCTCTCTCTCCCCAACGCTCCTAGGGCCTGGAGGAATATTTACTGTACCCGTGATCCCATGACGCCATTCTGGGGGCTCGATTTATCTACATATAGATTAAGTAGGCATAAATGGGTTCGGTACCACAGCGTCACAAGTGTGCCTATCTATGGTAAAACCTACTCTGCCCATATTGACCCGCATGATTATGCGAGAACGCCCCATTCAAAGCCGTTGCAGCAGATAGAAATAGGGCCTTGAGCTCGACATACATAGTATTGGATGCAGAGAGAGGGGTAGCGAATGGCAAGGACTCTTCTTCTATGCCCAGACATAATGATCTGCAGGGCGCGGGCTACGCGGGGCTTCGGATTTTGGCCTTGCCCACCTGCGAAAGGATCATACTTCGTGGTAGAAAAACAGTCTTCGAAACCTGATGCTCGATAACAAGATTGGCTGGATGGGGATAGTGGCGTCAAAGTGTGGGAGGGTGAATGGTGGGATCTGGTCGCGTGCCCCAAGGATCCAGTCATGTCAGTAGGGCGATAGGCTAACCACTCACCGGGTAGGATGCTACTCCTCGCTACTGTAAGACAGCGATGAACTGAATAATGAGGGGTGGAATTTGTGGGATATTGAGGTCTGTTCGTGATTCTTATTGATATCCCTCCAAGAGGGGGTTAGGTATATTATACCCATTGTTTCAAATGCTCAGGTATGCGAACAGCCTGCAACCTCGTGAACACTAAGTAGAGGTTCATACTGAAAAACGATGTATGAGGAATGCAGAATGGTTCCTCTGAATGTCCAACGTGGCTAGCTACAGAGGGGCTTTTGGCATCCCGAAGGTTCTGAATGCGGGCATGACGCGGAGAAGCAACCCAGGGAGTCCTTGGCGACAACAAAACGCTTGAGGGCTTGCAAGAGATGAGAGGGGTTGGCGACGATCTGCTTACTTCGTAGGGTCAGGTACCTGCGCTCTCCGGAAGGCGTCCGTGAGTCAGTCAGATTGGAGATATCTTCTGTGCGTCTGTGGTAGGTAGGTAGGTAGGTGAGGTGCCTAGTTGGAATTACCGTAGTACTGCTGTAGGTACTGATAACGGCCTTTTTCTGGAGGGGGGAGCATTTCACCGCGCATGTGACGCATGTGAAATGCCAAAAGACATGCTGCGCAGATCTGGTGAGACATGCTTGGTGGGCATCACACAATGACGATTCTTGGCTAACGGCCTGGAAGCTAAGCTAGCCCCCTCTTAGGCTCCCTCTGGGTGCCCTCCAAGACGAGCAAGATGGATCCTTCGCGCCGACTGGACGGCGTGTGTATCGAGAGAGAAGCCGTGTGACACACATTGCTGTTGGGGGGATGGGGATGAGGGGTAGTTTCTGCGCACTTCTGCGATAGCTACCTACAATCTACAATGCGTACCACACTGCACTATGTACATCACAGGAGGCAGGCAGTCAGGCAAGCTAAATTAACGAAAACGTGGTGGATGGGGTAACGCATGCAGTTATTGTAGGTATTTACACATAGGTTTGCTGACGGCGAATCATGATTGAATGCATTCTGAACTGCGTGAACTCGACCTCTTGAAGATTAACTGCATAGTAGCTACGTTTGGCATTGGAAAGAGCTAGGTTCGCAATAAATACCACTCCTGTCAAAAGAACCCTGTATGACAGAATGACAGACAGACAGGCGACACGGGGTTTTGAGACACGCAGTTTACCAGGTACTGCAGTAGGTAACCGAACCACCACATACTGATACTCTCATCCGTGACACATAATGGAAGATATCTAGATGAAATAAACACATCGTACTGCTCGACGAATTACTGATCAGGTAGGTAGGTGAATGTATATTTATATCGCAAGTGTATCTATCGTAAGTGTATCATGAGTCACGACGACATTTTCCTGTCACCAAAATAGTCTCGGTAGGCGGAAAATGTCGGTTG